CGGTACAGAAGTGTTTTGAGTTTGACTTCACAGTTGACAATTGTTGTCCTCATTCTCTAGGCAGGCACAGTCCTGCTCAGAAGGTCTATTTTACATTAACATCTTAAAGGATGCTGCCAATGCTATCTTTTAGCGGTTTTAGTTTGGGGGGTTTCAAATTGAGTTCCTGTGAAATCTAATTTTGTGATGGCTGATAAATATTATTCTGATTGCATTCATAAAGTTAGCGAGGTTTATTCTAGTAATACTTGTTAATGATGCATTCTTTTCTTTAAATTTATTTGCCATCTTTGCCCAATATTATATGGTTTAATTTATATACTCCTATGCTTTTTGTTTAATTTTGTTCCACTGGTCCACGTGGCTATTTTTTAAATTCATCCTTCTGTTCACAAGAGATAGTGTTGAATATTTGTATATGTAATATCCCAAACTTATTCAAACTTAAAGTAAAACAAAACTATACAAATAATTAAACACTAAAAATTACAAGTCCAGATGCAAGGCAGCCTGAATGAATTCACAGATAATTTGTTCTCAACTTCATATGTAGATTTAGACATGTTGAAAGTTACAAATAAAATAAAATGTGGAAAAGAATAAAAATGTCTGTTGTTTATAAAGTCTTCCAAAGTTTGCTATCAATATCTAAAGTAAAATTTGAACAAAAAACGGTTCTAAGTTATAATATTAGATACTTTCCTAAATGTCTCGTTTATTTTGTCTCTCTCTCTCTCTCTCTCTCTCTCTCTCTCTCTCTCTCTCTCTGTCTCTGTCTCTCCAAGTTAAATCATTTGGACTAACAATGCTTGCCACAAGAACCATAGACTAACAAACAACCTAGTATGGGATGAGAATCTTCCTATCAAATGTCAGTGTAGCCCATGTGACTCTGAACTCTGAAAACAATACAGATTACAGGTGTAGCTTTAATTGCCTCTTGTGGTTTGAGGGGTGACCCTACTGATGAAGACATCGCACTTACGAGCTAGGATTCAGAAATTCAAATCATTGAGCAGGGCCAGACCTAAAGTTTCTCTCTAGAATTCTTGCTACCATGCTTCAAGAAAATGTTTTGCTGCTAAAGGAAGGATGCTCTAAAAAGTTATGCCCAGTTCCAAACTGGGCATAACATATAACATATAAAAGAGGACATTACCAGCATTACAAGGTATGTATAAAGGTCAACTGATTCACACTCGCTTGTCAGAGGCAATAAACAGGTGTCTAATTATCCTTATACGAACAAGAAAGAAATCTTGCTTGGTACAGGAATCGTAGCCAATTTCTTGGGGCTAGTGAAGTCATGAACCTTAAGGTAATATCTCCTTTATCCATTTGCGTAGACAAGCATAATTCCAAACTACATTCTTTGTCTTATGATACACATATAAGGATGTAGGTATCATCCCTTAATGATGAAGCATTTTTTCACAGAAAAATGAGACCACAGAAATCCACAACTGAACACAGTGCAGATTTGTAGAGAGGATTGGTGGCCCGGTCTCTAAACATATCTACGAAGCTCCTGCATCAATAGCTAAAGTAAACTCACTGAAATTGGGGAGGCAGAAATAGTGTACCTGCAAAATATGAGCAAGTTGGCTATGAAATAGTATGTTCTAGAAAAAAACGATACATGCTGACCTGTCCCATACCAAGGTCACAAAAGGAGATAGAGAGACGCCACCTGCACCCACTGGAAAAAGATATGGGAAGAAGACAGAATAAGAATTCACTCAACAACAGAAAGACCAATATGACACCACCAGAATCTAGGGACTCCACACCAGCAAGATCTGAAAAGCTTGACACAAAGATGAAGAAGAGATGGACCTCAAAAATTATGTCAGGAAGATGATAGAGACATTTAAAGAGGAAACAAGAAAATCCCTTAAAGAAATAGAAGAAAAAGCAAGCAAAAAATTACACGAAATGGAGGAAAAGACAAAGCAAAAAATTCAAGAAATAAACAACTCTCTTAAAGAATCTAAAGAAAGCCAAGAAAAAAAAACAACCAAACAAGTGAAGGAAGTACTTGAAACAGTTCAAGGCATGAAAGCGGAAATAGACACAAAAAAAAAAAAAAAACACAGAATTAGGCGATGCTGGAAATGGAAAGGCTGGATAAATGATCAGGAACTAAAGATGTGAGTATAACTAATAGAATTCAAGAGATGGAGAGAGAATCAGTTATTAAAGACTCACTAGAGGATATATATTCATCAACCAAAGAAAACCTCAAGACCAACAAAT